GCGACAAGTCCCCAGCAAGCACCAAGTACTGAAACGTTTTTTTATCCATTCATCAACTGGTGTACATTTTAATTGCTTCCACTTTTTGACTGTTACAAATAAAGGTGCTGTAAACATTTGTGTACAGGTTTTTGTGGGGGCATATGTTTTCATTTCTCTTGTGACTATACCTATAGTGGAACTGTTGGGTCATGTAATACTAACACCTGAGGAGTTTGTTAGAAGCACCCAAAAGAAAGCACTCTTTGCTAGGTATGGAAGAAAAGTACAAAGAACTGCCCCCAAAACTGCCTGGACCAACAATACCAGGCAGTTTTTAAATAAAGCTAATCATCTATACCCTTAACTTTTTGTTATGCATACCCATGAGGGTAGAAAGAACCTTAATAGGAAACCCAAATTCATTTTCTTCACTTTTTCTGGTAACAATACTGTAGTCAAGTGACCACAAAACCACCATTAAGTAAAAACACATTTCTCCCTAAATTCTATAAAATCAATACCTAAATGATAAAAGGTCAATATACTTCTTATTACTTATACTTTATTACAGACTTCCCAGTTAACTCCAAACTAATTCAATAACATATATTTGCATGATCTTCTTGCTCACTACAAATTAACCAAATATATTTGGATACAAGATAGAAGTTGTATCATTCAAATATACACTATATTCTTCTCCTCAAGGTTTGACTATCCCATACCATAAAGCTTATTTGCCAAAAATATTACAGACCCCATATACAACGCTAACACAGTCTCCAATATGCAATAAGGAAATATAAGATTCACAATGACTCAACCACTCTTGAATCCTTAACTCTCAGAAAAGTGTAGCAATATTTTATTTTTTTAAAGATTTTATTTATTTATTTTTAGAGAGGGGAGGGAGGGAGGGAGGAAGGGGGGGAGAGAGAGGGAGAGAGAGGGAGAGAGGGGGGAGGGGGAGAGAGAGAGAGAGAGAGAGAGAGAGAGAGAGAGAGAAAGCAATGTGTATGTGTGGTTGCTGGGGGCCATGGCCTGTAACCCAGGCATGTGCCCTGACTGGGAATCGAACCTGCGATGCTTTAGTTCGCAGGCCGCACTCAATCCACTGAGCTACACCAGCCAGGGGCAATATTTTATTTTAAAGGTTAACCATTTCTTAATTTCCAAACATACTGTAATAAATTTTATGTTCATATGTGCGTATAAATAGGGAAAAAAGAATGAATCAAAGACAATCTCAGTTGTCCTTGAGGTAAACATCACAAGACTTTTAAAAATTAATTATGAAATACATCAAGCACAAAAAGGCATAAAAATATAACAAACACCTATGCGCCCACCACCGAGTTTAAGCCATAAAACATTCCCGAAATAGTTACAGCCCCTGGAGTATTACCATTAACTGTACTCTGCTGCCGTCAACATACAGATACCCACTCCCTGGAATTTAGCCCCTATTTTTACTTTTTTGGTATACTTTTACGACACACATACATATTCCTAAACCAGTAAGTCTCAATCATATTCCTAAACCAATGAGGATCGGGGCAATTTTGCTCCCCATGAGATATTTGGTAATGCCTGAAAATATTTGAGATTATCATGACTACGACTAGTGGGTAGAGGCCAGGGAAACTGGCCTGCTGTACAGAACGGCACCCTACTACAAAGAATTATCTTTGGCTGGTATGGCTCAATGGATTGAGTCATATTGCTATCAGTCCAACATAGCAATAGTGCCAAAGCTAAGCAACCTTGCTCTACACAATAAACAATATTGTTTTGCACTTCAACACACCATAGGTTCTCTTTCTCAAGAAACTTTATCTTCTTGCTTTTTTTACTTAACATTAATTTTCTCTCTGTACAGAACTTCACTATATAAATTCAGTTTATCCATTCTTCTATTGATGCTCCTTTAAGTTTTTTTTCCAATTTTTTGCTTTTACATAAAATATTACTGTGAACATTCTCATACAAGCCTCTTTATGCTTAATGAGAGACTCTGTCTAGGGCAGTGATTTTCAAAGTGTGGTTCTTGAACTCCCAGAGTAGTCCCCAAGACCCTTTCAGGGGCTTCATGAGGTCAAAAGTTAGTTTCATAACAATATCAAGATTATATTTGTCTTTTTTCATGTTGGCATTGCAATTGTAAGTAAAAATGCTGGTGATTTCGCCAAGTTAAAACACTCAAATGAAACTTATAGGTAGTCCGTACCTGCTGATATTGTTTTGCACTTCTTAGTGCAAAACATTAGTCAATGGTATTCATATCTAAAAATACATAAATCTGAATTTAGTCATGAGAAACCATTAGAAAACCCAATTTAAGAGATAGTCTATACAATTATTGGTTAAGGTCAAAGGCATGAAAGACAAAGAAAGAATGAGTAACTGGCCCAGACTGGAAGAGTCTGAATGACAGCTAAATGCAATGTGTGATCCTGGACTAGATCCTGTGAAATGATTTTTCATCTAAATTGTTTCATTTTATATCGTTATATCAATAAAGGAGAAAACAGTCTAAGCTGTTGAATCATTTTGTGTTAAATATTTTTTCCAAGCGGAAGATAAGTATAGGGAACACCTGATATATTTTTGTTAACATCTCATTTCACATGTAAGGTTTTATCAGAGATTTATCCATTAACAAAGCAATGAGTCAGTGTCTTTGATTCATAAAATTTCAGGGATCTATTTGTTATTAATTCTAGAATTTTTATATAACACGAACTGAAAGTTTGCTCTCACAAAACAAAGATCTAATTTATTTTAATAAAACTCATAAAATTCATGTATCCTTAATAGTATATTCAGTAGTCCTGACCTGTGTTGGTTGGGCATCATCCTGCAAAGCAAAAGGTCACTATTTTGACTCTTGGTCAGGGCACATGCCTGGGTTGCAGGTTGGGTCCCAGGTGGGGCATACAGGAGAGGTGAAATTTGATTATTTTTAGAATGTACAAATAAGCTACTTCTGACAAAGCCCAACATCCTGACATAGGTACCTAATTGTTGTTAGCAGCAATAAAAAGGGATATGAATACAAGTCAACCAAGTTTTTGAGTAAATAATTCCTAAAGTTGTATTTCTTAGCTGGCTTTTTAAACATTGAAAAAGATGTGTGTGCAGGACCAAAAGAAAAGATTTCAACAGTACAAAAAGGGGCAGCCGTTGTTAGAAGTTTCTTGTGCATTCTTACACAACACCCTATTCACTGCAAGTATATATATACTGTATATATACAGCATATATATACTGTAAATCTGCTCCTCTTTTAAAGCATAAATGGCAATACACAATATTGCCTTCTACACTTTTGTTTTGTAACTTAATAATGTGTTGATGATTGTTCACGTTAGCACCTTATTCTTTCATAGCTGCAGAGTATTCCAGTGACTGGATGCAAGTTTTTTATTTAACCAGTACTTTTTTGACGGGCACTTATATTGCTTCAGGTCTTATTATTTACAAAGATGCAGTGAAAAAAAAATCCTTGCATGTGTATCGTTATGCATTTGTTTTGAGTATATCTGAAGTGGAATGGCATCCAAGGATACACATATTTAACATTGTGATAGATACTAATTGCCCCCCAAAGACATTTCACCAATTTACTCTCCTGGCAACACTGTACAAGGCATACCTGTATAAGGCAAACACTGTTTCTGTACATTCTTAAACTTTTAATCATGTAACTCAAGCTAGAGTTTGACCACAACTCAAAAAGTTGGAGGCATCTTGGGATCAGTAGCTGTAGGTTTATAGGAAAATTTAAATATCTTTCTAGGGTAAAGGTAATGTGTAAAAAATCCTATACTAGAGAGATTTGTTAAAAGGATATTAGTGTTGTGTAGTATGGAGTATATCCATCCTATAGTTTCATTATCTTACATAAAGCAGGTGTTTTGCAGAGGTAATTGTTTTAAGATGTTAGTTTAATTTATAAGATTATTCCACATATTATTTAATTTGGGGGTATAGTAATTCATCTTGTTCAACTGATTCTTTTACTAAACATCATAAAAGCATTCCTAGATGCAGGGCAGCTAGGCTTCTTATGAAATGGTGGAACAAATCACAACTCTTGTTCTGGTTTTGCACCAGGACTATAATACTACTTTCCATGGTTTTTTTTTCTTCAAAATATGTAATAACAGATATCCATTGGCATTATATTACTTTGAAGATTTAATAAGTATTTGATGTTTATTTACATAATAGTTTAAAAACTAAACCTTTTTTCTGAGATAATTTCAGACTTACAAAAAATTACAAAACCAATAAAAACAGTTCCCTTAGGCCCTGCAGCCATGTTCTTCATGTACTGACTGACGTCTTATAACAAAGTACAATTATTGAAACCAGAAAAATAACAGTAATAAACTAATCCGCAGACTTTATTTAGATTTCACCAGCTGTCCCACTAATGTCCTTCTTCTGGCCTAGGATCACACATTGCACTTGGTTGTCATTCAGTGTCTTCCAATCTGGGCCAGTTACTCCAAGTCTTGGGGGAAGAGGGTGAGACAGATAGCTCAAAACAACCTGAGGTACCAAGGTCCTCTCGGCAATTGTAACCGGTCAACTAAACACAAGATGGCAAGGCAAGCCTCCCTTCGGACAGTCATCACTTGGACTCTTGATTAATTTCATTGATTTATTAGACAGACCTCTCCAGACCCCTTCCCTAGAGGAGGAGGAGGGGAACCGTCTGTTGTCTTCCCAGTGCTTTGTCCCTTCCAGGCTTGAAATCATCCTGGTGAAGGTGCTGACCATTATTTCCCTTGGTGACGGGCGGCAGGGGATATGGGCTCCTTCCTGCAAGTTTGTTTATTAGGTATTGAACCTAAAATTCCCTTTGGCTCTTTCCCTTCCCGCTCATTCCGGCCGGGAGCTGCTGGAGAGGCGTTCTACCAAGGCCTTCCTCTAGGCCCGCCGCCCGACGCCCACCCAGCCTCCGCCCTCCCACAAGCGCGCAGGCCCCGGGCCAGGTGGCAGCGGCTTACCCGTGGGCGCACTGTCCAGGATGCGCAGGTCGTAGGCCCCGGAGCAGCGGTAGTTTGCGGCGGTGCCGTTGTCCCACACGACCACCACCTCCTCGGGGCTCTCGAAGCTCCGGACTGTGCCCACATGGCCCTCGCCGCCGTCCTGCTTTCCCCACTTCCAGTCCGGGCCGCGGACTACCCGGGCCCCGACCCCTTCCACCATCACCCGGTTATTCCGGGAGTTACTCATCGGGGCCCGAGCAGAGCGCCCCGCCGCCGCCGCTGCTGCTGCTGCTGCTGCCGCTGCCGCCGCCGCCGGGGGGCCCGTGAGGCAGTTGGGCCCGGGCCGGACTCTTGGCGCCGGCGGGGGCGGCAGCGAGCCCCGGGGGACGCGGGAATAACTCACGGGGACGGCGGCGCGATCCCCGCCGAGCTTACAGCCGTTCCCTCGCCGTGGCCGCCGCCGCCGCCGCCGCCGCGCCCCCTCTCACACCGGGGTCCTGACCACAGCGACGAGGAAGCCGCAGCGGCGGCGGGCGGACCAGGGGGAGGGGGCCGTGGGCGGGGACTCACTTCGCTTCTTCCGCGCTCCGCCTCCGGGCTACAGCGACGGCAGCTAGGAAACCACGCTGTCTCCCTGCCGGGAGCGCGGGGAGCCGAGGGAGGTTACCCCGGGGTGGACGTTGAGAGTGGCGGGGCGCAAGTTTAACTGCCGGCCCTTTTTCTCCCCCGGCCTCTCGCTCTGGGGTGTGCGCCCGGACACTGGGGCCGGGGCCGGGGCCGCCTCCACCCCCGTGGGCAGCGGTGGTACCTCCCGGCGTCCGGCGAGCGCCTGGGCCCAGGAGCTCCCTTCTCTCAGCCCCCACGCACGCCGCCGCCGCCGGGCTCCGCCCAGCTACAGAGTCCCCTCCGGGCGAGAGAGGCTCCACATCCGGATACTGGCCCACCCAAGGCCGGAGCGGCACCTTCTCGGAGTGACTAGGAGGGATCCTGAAAAACAGTGGACTAAGAAGTGTTGTGGAGAGTAGCGCCGGCCGGGAGAAAAAGAGAAAAATCGACCCCTAAGCGTCAGTCCAGAGCCCAGTATGAGTGCGCATGCGCGGGGCCCATACAAAAATAAAAATAAAAAAAAAAGTTGAGGGTAGACGCCCAGCTTCAGCCTGGCGAGGTGGAGGGGCGGCTCCCTACCATTGCTAACCCTCGGTGCCGCGCATCTTATTATCTGTGAAGAAAGGGTTGGGGCGTGGAACTCTGGCTGGCGGGCCTGAAGGTGGGGCTGGAGGAAGAAAGGGTAGGGATGCTACTGGAGCTGCAGAAACTGGGCAACTATGATGAGGTCAGTCTTGCACTAAGTTCTAGAGTTCTAGTGTACCTCGGTGTACTAAGTGTGAATTTGGGATTGCGTGTTGTTTTAGCCTTTTTTAATGGGACTGGGAATAGGATAGTTTATAGCACAGACTAAAGGCAACTGGTACTTTGTGTAAATTTTTTAAGTATATTGATTATACTATTACAGTTGTCCCATTTTTCTCCCCCCCTTATCCCCCTGTATACACACCCCCACCAGCATTCCCCCACTTAGTTCATGTCCGTGGGTCATATACATAAATTCTTTGGCCTCTCCATTTCTCATACTATTCCTTACCTCCTCCTGTCTATTTTGTAACTACCAATTATGCTTCTTATTCCCTGTACCTTTTCCCCCATTCTCTACCATCCCTCTCCTGCAGTAACCGTCCATGTGATCTCCATTTCTCTGATTCTGTTCCTGTTCTAGTTGTTTGCTTAGTTTGTTTTTGTTTTTTTCCATTCAGTTGTTGATAGTTGTGAGTTTGTTGTCATTTTACTGTTCATAGTTTTGATGTTAGATAATATCTCTTTAACATTTCATGTCAGGGCTTGGTGATGATGAACTCCTTTAGCTTGACCTTATCTGGGAAGCACTTTATCTGCCCTTCCATTCTAAATGAGAGCATTTCTGGATAAGGTAATCTTGGATATAGGTCCTTGTCTTTCATAACTTCAAATACTCCTTTCCAGCCTCTTCTTGCCTGCAAGGTTTCTTTTGAGAAGTCAGCTGACAGTCTTATGGGCACTCCTTTATAGGTAACTGTCTCCTTTTCTCTTGCTGCTTTTAAGATTCTCTCCTCTTTCATTTTGGGTACTGTAATTATGATGTGCCTTGGTGTGTGCTTCCTTGGGTCCAACTTCTTTGGGACTCCCTGTGCTTCCTGGACTTCCTGGAAGTCTATTTCTTTTGACAGATTGGGGAAGTTCTCCATTATTTGTTGAAATAAGTTTTCAATTTCTTGTTCTTACTCTTCTCCTTCTGGCACCCCCATGATTCTAATGTTGGAATGTTTAAAGTTGTCTCAGAGGTTCCTAAGGGTCTCCTCATATTTTTCAATTCTTGTTTCTTCATTCTGCTCTGGTTGAATGTTTATTTCTTCCTTCTGGTCCAAATTGTTGATTTGAGTCCCAGTTTCCTTCCCTTCACTGTTTGTTCCCTGTATATTTTTCTTTATTTCACTTTGCATAGCCTTCACTTCTTCCTCTCTTTTGCATCTTTACTTAGTCATTTCTGTGAGCATCCTGATTACCAGTGTTTTGAAGTCTGCATCTGATAGGTTGGCTATGTCTTCATTGGTTAGTTGCTTTTCTGGAGTTTTGATCTGTTCTCACATTTGAGTCATATTTCTTTGGCTCGGTGTACCTATTACGTAGTAAGGGACAGAGTCTTAGGTGTTCACCAGGCTGGGGCAACCCACGTTGCTGTGTGTGGTGCTGTATGGGAGGAGAGGTCAGAGAGGAAACAGTGCCACTTGCTGGGCTCTTGCCCCACTTTCAGTCACTTCCCCCTCTACCCACAAGCAAATTGAGCCCTTCAGGTGCTGATTCCTAGGTTGGTAGGTTTGTGTGCATTCTAGGATCCTGTGGGTCTCTCTAACAAACTCCTGTGAGGCTGGGAATTTCTCCCACCTCTGTAACCCCCATAGGTTTTTACAGCCAGAGGTTTTGAGACTTTAGTTTCCTGCACTGGAACCCTGGCTTGTATGGTCTGTCTTGCTCCCAAGTTCTTCCTCCCCGCTCATCCTGCAAATGTGGAACTGCCTGGTCCACCAGCTGCTGCTTTGCATGCCCAGTCTGCTCCTTGCCACATGTCCTCTCCACCCTGGCTGCCTGTCTCCGCCCCTCCTACTGGTCTAGATGAATGTTTCTTCTTTAATTCCTTGGTTGTTGGACTTCCATACAGTTTTATTTTCTGGCAGTTACAGGAGGGGGAGTTATTTGTTTTAAATTTGTTGTTGTCCTTTTGGTTGTTCGAGGAAGCACAGCATATCTACCTACACCTCCATCTTGGCCAGAAGTCTGTATGTGTAAACTGATAACATTTCCAATGAGAGTGAGTGGTTTGAACAGAATGACACTGTATGATGTGTGTCTTGCTTTCATGCAGAGTCCAGGTGGTAAGTAGATTCCAAACATCACAAGCTTCCAGGAAAATTTACAAGCACCTTGCCCAGCGATAACTACCCCCACCCACAACATAATTCATCCCCAATTGCAAAATACAATTTGGAAACAAAAATAAGAGGACTCAAAGAGTGATTTATGGCTGCTGTTACCTAAGTGACACTGTGATATGTAGGATTTAAAATCATTGTTTCACAGCCCAGCATGGATGCATTGTAAAGCATACTGTTGTCTTTCCTGAAAGTCCAGGGAGGAGGGAAAACTCCAACAGAATTGAGTAGTTGAGTGAAAAGAACAGAGTGTAAAATGTAACCAATGAAGTATGTAGTGAAGTAAATAAAATGTTTTAAACTTGTGCATGTAAATAAAACAGGAAAACACTGATATGGAGCCCCAAAGGCCAAGTGGAGCTAATTTTAGAAACTAAACAGGTTAAATACTTGCTCAAAATATGCCAGCCAAATTTCTAGTAATTTCAACTATTTTCATCCCAGAAATTTTTAATGTGCTATTGCCAGAGTTACTGAACTGAAACTATTCAATTAAGGGCACTTCAATGTTCCTGTTCTTCCAACTCTTTCTTCTCTCTCTGGGATCTTTTCCAGTTTTCTTCTTTGCTTGTTAACCAGTTAAATTGATCACATGAATTAAGTTGATAAAAAAATGAGAAAAAATTGTAGCCACTGCACAAATTATATTTGTCATTGACTTTTTAAAGTAAGTTGATTAAAAGTCAAAAGAGATGTTAAGACTCAGTAGGGCAACCTTGTGTTTTATATCAAACACAGTATATTAATAATTGTTTTCACATGCTTAATTATGTTTTGTCTCACCCAGGAATTTTATACTTACTAAGATATTGTCAAATATTTAGATAGAATTTTATTCTTAACACCAGAGGTTAGTTATAATAACTTTAAATTGTTTTACCTGGACAATGGAAAAGGATCTTAACAGGTGATCTACCCCAGATCTACCCCAGTGCTTTTCTTTTCTTTCCTTCTCCCCAAATTCCTCTGTTCTTACCCTGTAAGAGAGTTTAGTACCCTGGATAACACAATATAGCAAAGCTGTAGTCATCCATTCTTTCCATCTTTACAGGTGCTGGACAAAAACTCACTAAAATCTCTGTAGTACACTAAGCACAAATATGAAAACCTGAAATTAGCTTAGTCCCTATTTGATAAGAAGAAAAAAGAGGCCAGGACTGAATAATTTGTCCAGGACTACAGATGAAGTTAAAAGACAGAGCCCATCTAATACTGGATGTATTTCTCTCTAAATAAACATTCTCTTATCTATCATCACCTTATTAAATACATTGTAAATTTATAATGCTATCATATTGCTAAGACTATTCCAAGACCTTTAAATTAGTATAGCTTGCCAATGGTCTCTAAATGTTTTGATCATACATCCTTTCATTGCAAAATTTTTGAGCATGTACTTCCAATATATCTATTTATTTATGTATAAATTATGTGTATTACCATGTTGTGATATAAAACATAAAATACAAATTTTAAGAGGATAAATATAAAATACACAGAAAAGTTCTCATACTTTCTTCTCACTCCAGTAGATCATCTTCTGCTTTCCTAGATGTTTACATTGGTATTCTCCAAAGTAGACACACCCCGATTTGACCACTGTGTCATTCATGTGTCTGTCATGTTTAGAACCCATTCACTCTACACACGTTTGCTTATATGTCCATTTGTTCAGAAATATTTAGGGTCACTCAAAAATAGTATGATTTTTATTTAAACCATAAATAAGATGAACTGCATAAATCCTTGCCCCAGAAATGAAGTAGTTTTGCTATTCACCTACTATTCTACTACTATGAATAAATTTGTGGCTGCTTCACAGTTTACAGAAATGTATAATATTTGGAGGGCACCTTTATAATTTAGAGTTGTATCTAGCACATATCACTCAGTCACATTGCATAGTTCAGAATTCAGCCACATCTAACTGAAAGGGAAGAAAAATGTAGCTTAGCTTGGTGCCTGAGAAGAGAAGTATATTATCTAGTGTCCACTTAGGAAAATAGATCACTCTAAATATTCAAAAAGAAGGAATTTAATCCAGCAACTTGTTTGCAAAAATGTTGGAGGGCTGCAGAAATAAAAAGAGATTAATAACTACTGGAACACTGTCCTCCAGGACTAGAGGAGGAAAAGAGAAAGTGATGTTTTCTAGGATCCATGACCACTGTGTCATTGAGGCTGCAGATAGGAAACTGCTGTAGGCTGGGAGCCCAGGCTCACACTGAAGCTGCAGGGGGCCAGAGTTCCCCAAAGTCCCCAACCATGGTCACTACCATGGGGGACTCCCAAAGTCCCCAACTATGGTCACTACTTCTGCCAGAGTAAGAGCTCCATGAGTGTAGGGTGCACACACTCTGTCACTGCAATCCCTGGAACCTAAGTAGGAACCCAGAAGCTCCTGGAAATTCTTTCAGAAGCAGGAAACTAAAAAAAAAAAAATGGCTTCCCCTCTTGTCAATTGGTCTCCCATTAGTCTCCAACAAATAACAGGAATAGTCTACCCTGCTGGGTACTCAGCACCATTCTCACCATTCTACCAAACTT